AAAAATACTATTAATCTCATATAGCTTTTAAATATTGAAGAATCTGTATACTATTATATATCAACATAATTTGAAATTTCCATCTTTCACAGGATCAAGAAAATTCCCTTCTACAAGTGTGCATGTTTTAAAACATTAGCAAAAATGGCTGTTTCCTGGAGATTTAGGTTATACTTTAAAAACACCATTGGTGCTGGGCATGCTGACATATCACAGTGAATCCCAGTTGTACAGGATACAGAGACAGGTGGATGACTAGGTGAGGCCAGACTAGACACATAGAGCTTCAAGACTCAGCCTATTGCATGAGAATAAGTTTCTTACAGACACATTTAAATTTTCAGAGACCAGTGCTGGGCCCATTACTCTTCCTATAGAAAGTTTCCAAACTCAGAAGCTCAGGAGATGACTTATGGGAACAAATAGAGTTCTGGCTTCCATTCCATTAACTGCTTTCTACACCACCAAGTCTCAGAAAATACAGAGAGGGCCCACTCCCTCTTTGCTTATAGAAACGCTTTTTCTGCTTCAAACTCATTTGTTAGGGGAGATCTGCAGCCAGCAGAAGGACATAGCTTTACTAAAACACAGCTGAAAAGATTTTGTGCTCCTTCTAGATGAACCTGAGATGTAATGGACTGTGGTCTCCCCAGAGCATTGATGAGCTGAGATTCTTTCTGGGAATTGGAGAGGCGGTGGGAGTTTCTTCCACTTTCTCTAATCTCCTTGGAAATGTCCACACTCCTGCCTTCAGGACTGGTGGTCACATGGACTGTTAACTCAGCCCACATTTGCATCCAAGAGAGGAGAGAATACTCAGGCTTTTGACTGGAGCAAAGACTTAGAGTGTTCCTGTGCAGGCCATGTCATGAGTGCCTTGAAGTGGAAACTGTGTTCTCCAAAGGTGCAATCTCTTGGCCTGTGAAATTTACAGTAGAGCTGTAAGTGCCAGAGATGCCCCAACTATACATTGGAGCACCATCTGGAGCATTGTTTTCAAAACCAAGATAGCATCCTTTGTAAAAGAATATTCCTAGGTATTTTCTGACCATTATGGTCTTGGATGTGTTTCTAATCAGCATACAGTGTTTCTCATGATCAATTTCTTTAATGTTTTTGAAGCCAAACATCATCTGACTATATGTACAGGTCTAAGTGAGACACTTTGAAATGGACAAAGAAACAAAGATGATACATTTCAGACATGTGGATTTTTTCTTTTCCCTCATGAAAATAAATTTTTCTGAACCATGTAAATTCTCATAGTTCTTCGTTAGAAGGTGACTGAGCTCATTCTTTGCTTCCCCCCTTTCCTTTCCTCCACTCCCATGAAGATGATGAGAACTACAAATTAGGCATAAATCCCATGGTAAAGTATCCATCTGTATCTTGTGATTAACTTGGATTTAGAATGTACAGCAGAGATATATTCTTAGCTTTATATAAAAGACTTTACTCCTGATAAGTGTCAAACACTTGCTAGCAGAATCCCTTGTGTTGCAGTGTTTTTTTCTTGTCGGTAATGGGGATTAAACTCAGGGTCTGAGAGCCATTCCTGAGCTCTTTTGCTCAAGGGTACCACTTTGAACCACAGTGCCACTTCCATTTATCTGGTGGTTAATTGGAGGTAAGAGTCTCACAGACTTTTTGCCTGGAGTTGGCTTTGAATCTCACGTCTTAGATCTCAGCCTCCACAGTCACTAGAATTAGAGGCATGACCCACCAGTTCCCAGATGCCGCTTCTTCCTTTTATTTTTATTTTTTTCCTACTGATCATCTCTCTTTGGTCCTATAAACCAACTCTGATAAAGGATAGTTTCTAACATTTTTCTTCCTCATTTTTCTTTTATGGTCATTGTTGTTTAGGGAGCTCCTGGTACATACTTAGAAGGTAGTAAATAACTTGCCTGAGATTATGAGCACTGAAGCTTATTTGATGGCACAGTAATGCAAGGAACAGGGAAGTGGCGTGGTGGCTCAAGCGATAGAGTGTTTGCCTAGAGGTGAAGAGTGCAGAGACAGCTCCCAGGTCCAGAGTTCAAACCCTATGACTGACCAAAAAAAGAAAGAAAAAAAGAAACAGTTTGATTAAAAGTGAGGGTTTGGGGAAAAATAAACTACTTATTTGAGGGAGCAGAAATATTTTCTTCCATTTAGGCAAGGAATGGGAATTTAGGCAAGGGATGGGAATTGGTAGTGGGTAAGGATCTGTTCTGCCGGTATCCTGGATTCTGAATATATGTCAGATTTTTCTAGAACTAGATTTCTTAAAAATAAAAAGAAACCCATGAAAATAAAGTCTTGATTAATTTAATGATTTTCTGTAGTAGAATGTTAGGACAAGCAATTCTTAATGCATTACACTTTTGGCTCATAGAAGAATCGATGTACAAAATAAGTTTTGCACTTTTCAGTGAACATTCCAGTATTTAGTGACATGTACATCCCTGATGATCAGGATAAAGGGGCTGAGACAAGCATACCCAAAGACTAGAAATACATTGATCTTTATTATTGTACAGTCATGTTTCATGACAGAACTTAGGTAGATGGAGGAGATTAAATTTGTCCAATAAAAACAAAGAAAACAGACCATGAGAATGAGAGTATTTAGAACCACTCTGATTTCTGGGGTGGAATTGTTTTCATATTTGGAGCTATGAAGGTAGAGGACTCGCTTGTAATGTTTATACAGATAGAAAATCATGTACCCACTGCTCCAGCCCATGAGACTTTGAAAGATCACATCCCGGAGAGCCATGAGGGAGAGGCAAAGCCACCTAAATACATGGCTAGATGGATGCATATGACAATACCCAACATAGACTTCATTTCTGGAGCTGTTCATGCTATTGGATGCTGTCATGAAGTAGAGCAAATAGGAGCCTATTAGAGCATTCAAGACCCAAAAGAAGAGGAGATAGGGAAGAACTTGCCATGCAGTCTGTGGTTTGAGCTTTCTCCACTGGGTGGTTCTGGGGCTGATGGTAATGACCTGGAACATGGTGAGGAGACAGGTGGTGCAGACGGAAAGGCCTCGAGCTAGTTTTTCCATATAAAGCACAGTTTTACAACCAACATCACTTAGGAAGTTTATGAAACAAAGATCTGTAGTCAATATACTTTTGATCCCTATGTTACAAATAATTAGTGTATTTGAGAAAACCAAGTGAATGAGGATAACGTATATGGGTTTTTGTTTCTCAAGACCCATAATTAAAATATATACATATTTCACAAGTACAAAGATGTTTCCTAAAATTCCAGGACCAGTAAGCACAATGAGGATTATCCTTTGGATGAGGTTACTCCAAATCATCGGATTTCATGCACAGGACCAGGAAAAGCCTTTTGAGAAGCACAAACAAGTAAAAATGACATATTTCAGGTTTATTGACTTTCCCTGTTTACATAGTAAAAGCAATGGTTTATGAATTATGTAAATGTACAAGTTTATTTCCTGGAAGGTGCCTAATCTTTCTTTCCTCATTTCCTTCTTCCATTCCTTCCTCCTTTCTTCTCTCCTTTATTCCCTCATCTCTTTCCTTCCTTTCTTTCTTACTTTCCTTCCTTCCTCTTCCCTCTTCTCCCCACCCCTTCCCCCTTTTCTCTGTCCTTAGTCTTGAACTCAGGGCCTAGGTGATGTCTTTGAGCTTTTTACCTCATGGCTGCCACTCAACCACTTGAAACACAACTCCACTTCTACTTTCATCATTTTGTTTTTTTAGTGGTTAATTGGACATAAGTTTCTCATGGACTTTCCTATCTATGCTGTTTTGGAACAGTGATCCTCAGACCTCAATTTCCTCAGTCGCTAGTATTACAGGCATGAGTTACCAGTGGCCAGCACTTTCTTCCTTTCCTGATTCCTGTGACTTGGAGATCATGATGACTACAAATTAGACACAAACTCCATGTTCATACATTCCCCTGATTTTTCCTTCTTTGTACTCCTTTGTGAATCTCCATTTTCTGCGATCATTTTCTTCTTCAATGTAATGTAAACAAAATCAAGAAATATGCAATTTCCAATCTGTACTCCTTAGCAGTACTATCTTAAATGCTGCCTTCTCCTTCACTTGTTATACCCAGAAAATATCCTTATGGTTTTTTTTTCCTGTCAGTCTTGGGGCTTGAATTCAGGGCCTGGGCACTGTACTTGAGCTTCTTTTGCTCAAGGCCAGCATTCTACCATTTGAGTCACAGCATCACTTCCAGCTTTTTCTGTGTATGTGGTACTGAGGAATCAAACCCAGTACATGCTAGGCAACCACTCTACCCTTAAGCCACATTCCCAACCAGTACGATGTTTGTTTGTCTGTGTTTTGATACTTGTCCTTCCCCAGATTATCTGTACGATCCTGTGTTGCTAGCAGGAACCTGAGGCAGTATGATGGGATACCAAGTGGAAGAAAATTAGAAAACACTGTAGACATAGAAAAAAGGGGGCTGGGAAGGTAGCTCAGTGGTAGAGCGCTTGCCTTGCATGCATGAGGCCCTGGGTTCGATTCCTCAGCACCACATAAGCAAAAAGAAAAAAGCCAGAAGTGGCTCTGTGGGTCAAGTGGTAGAGTGCTAGCCTTGAACTGAAGAGCTGAGGGACAGTGCCCAAGCCCAGATGGTTCAGGTCCCATGACTGGACCCCTCTAACCCCCTCCTCCCGGAAAAAAAAAGGGAGAGACCAGAGGATCCCAAGCTGTACTTGGGCCCAAAGTTCCCACAAGCAAGCATATTTGTTTACACAAAAAGTTTACCATGGATACATGCAAAATAAAGTATCTATATTAATATTATAATCAGAGCTAATATAGAGTTTGTGAGAGACACTGGTTCCCTTATTTTTTTGAGACAAGAGACTGTAGGCCAGGGGAAGTCCAGATACATTTAGCCCAAGGTTAAATTGTGGGTAGGGATGGGAGGGTGATGACAGTCCAGTCTCTAACCCACTCCAAACTGCCTGTTTTAACCCTTCCATAGCCAGTTCTCAGGGTTCTGAGTGCTGTCAAGGTGGCTTGTCTATATCAAATTGTTCCAACCTCTTAAACTTTTTTCACGTTTCTTAGTTCAGCTTTAGAGTTCCCTTTTATTTATTTGGAAAAATCATCACTTTTAGTTTTGTTAGAGTTAACACACATTGAATGTTAGAGAGAAACACTGTAAGACACCAAGGGGCCAACAAAATATCCCCAAGATTGTGGTTACTGGTCCCCCCAAAAAGCCAAAATCAAGATAGCCATCCTGAAAGTTTCCAGTTATCAGTATTTATTTTATCTTGGTTAATTTTCTTTGTGTTGTTCCAACTGGTTTTGATTTTTTTGAGAATTGTCACTTATACTAAAACAACATAATCCTATATACAGTTTACATCCTAAATGATTTTTATCAACACATAATCTATAGCATTTGATTTTGTAAAATTTTCATTTTTAATATTTTCTTTCTTGATTTATTTTTTCAGCATTATAGCTGTAATATTTGTTACTTTGTGAAAAAGACAAGCTAGCTGATTCATTGTTTTTGGGGTACACCTACTACAAGTGTGGGGACAGGTAGAATAAAAGCTGTTGCTACAGCTGTATAAGCGGTATCTAGCAATACAAGATGGTCATCACAACTTGGAGGGAGATCACATTTAGTTTTCTGGATACTTTTCTAACAGAGTGCTTGAATAATCTTTTTTTTAAAAGCTTGATATATATTTGGTTTTATAAAAGAAAGAGCAGAGAGCACCAAGTATTTTTCTTTAGACAAAGTGAGTTTTGTTACAGAACAGTTGCTGAAATCATCTATACAACTAAAGCATAAACATTTATATTGGACTATAAAGTTAAGCTTTATAATTTATTTATTTTTTTAATATTTTATCTGCATGTTCTGTAGTTTTATCCTTAGTTATATTTTTGTATTCTTTACTGCTAACAAGTTTAATTAAATTTTGTGATAGGATATTTTGTACAGAGGAACTTTTCTTAATACCAAAGGAAGTTTCATTTATGATATTAACTGCCAATTGAAGCCAAATATTTGGAGTACCAGTAAATTTTGATTTAGGAACCAAATATACAGTAACATGCATTTTTGTAAGAATACTGTCTTGCATATAACACTTTTGTAATTTGGAGCAATAATATTTTCCTTTATCGTTGAGAGAGGCCATAGGCTTGACTACATCTAATTGGATATTATCTGTTTTAGATTGATTAGTTGTATTTGTCCAAGGTCCCTTACATTTGTTTTGGCCAAATATTTTAACTCCATCTTTAAACCAATGAATAGTTGCCACTTTTGAATTATTGCACATCACAGAACAATTTAAGTACAATATACCTAACCAGGAACCCCCCCAAACAGAGGCTTGCACCATGCATGAGGCACTAGCAGTATGAATAAGTGCCATCATTATTACAAACAAAGATACTGTGTTAATTTTATGTCCATTGTCTTTAAACACCTGCTAACTTTTTGGGAAAGCTTTTTTATCTGTCTCCAGGTGGGAATGGTCGCCATTTTGGTTGGTGCTGTTTTACTGGTGCCTTTAGTCAGCTTCATCCTCTTGAAGGACTCCTCCAAAAGTTTTTGGGTGTCAGATGATTTTGTTTTTATTTTTGGGTTTTGGTTTTTGGGTTGGCAGCTAAACATCTGTTGAGCCTGTGGAGACACAAGCATAACCATGGCCCCATACTTTAACAGTTCCGAGTTTCCAGTTACTGTCAGTATCATCCTTCCACCATATAGGTTGACATGAAATTTTTAATATTTCAAAATATCCTTTCAATGTTTCTTTACTACTGAAGTATTGGATAGAAAAATCAAATTTTTAAAATTTCCAGTATATGTCATTTTTATTTGCTCTTTGAAGGTCTTGTGACCTATATACCTTTTATCTCTTTGAGTTTAATTAACTGATATTTGAGCATATGGTTGTAACCTATCACTACAGCTTGACCTTTGAGGATTGTATAGTATTCCTGTAAGTTTATACTTTAGCACTAGTAGAAGCAGGCGTTTTAATAGCACAGGGAACAGTCATCACAGTAAAAAAGAAAGAAGATGAGTGATTACATGCTTAGAAGTTTTTCTGGTTAAAGATGTGGTTATATATTGAAAATCTGTAATGAGATTAAAAGAAACATCTCTTTTTGAACAGTTGGATGACAGTAAATTGTTCATTTTGCTGAGTAGACTGATAAAGGGAATAATTCTTTTTATTTTAGCAAGTTATTTTTTCTTTTTTCTTTTTGTCTATAAAGAGGTGCCTCTGAAATAAGATAATTAAAAAATACATCTTGTATATTTTTGAAATGAGAACACCTTACCTTTGGGATAGTGACATCTTAGATGTCCTAGGTATTTAGAAAGAGGTAGTTTGCCATCATATTTTTTTGGTAGCTATTTTAAATCTCTTTGTCTGACATAAGAATAGTAATGCAGGGGCTGGGAAGGTAGCTCAGTGGTAGAGCGCTTTCCTTGCATGCCTGAGGCCCTGGGTTCGATTCCTCAGCACCATGTAAGCAAAAAGAAAAAAGCCAGAAGTGGTGCTGTGGCTCAAGGTAGAGCGCTAGCCTTGAGCTGAAGAGCTGAGGGACAGCTCCCAGGCCCAGAGTTCAAGCCCCACGACCGGACCCCCCCCCCCAAAAAAAGAATAGTAATGCATGGGGAGAAACTCTTTGAGCTTCCCCCCTCCCCAAAAGTCCTGGGGATGACAACTTTTTCTGCAGCTCTGTAAAAGGTTTAACATATTTTTTTCAGGCAAAGTCAACAGTATGTCATCTATATGATGAGTAATATTTGTATTTAGAAAAGCGTCCCACACAGATTGTAAAACAGAATCTATAAAATACCGTTCTATTATTGGGTTCCCAAACATTTTTTGATGTCGCACTTTTCATTGATAGCATTATATAGGGTTTAAAATTTATCCATGGAAATGTAAAGGTGAAATTTTCTTATCTTGTTTTGTTAAAGGAGTAGTGAAATACAATCTTTTAAATCAGTTACTATGAATTTTTAATCTTTAGGTAGCAGAACATCAAGTAATTACTTTCTATTATTTTAGCCTCTTTGACATAGATTCATTTCTTATATGGTTGCTGGTTAGAACAGTACAGATAATAGTAAAAAAGCAAGTAATTTCAGGAAATATCAACACTAGAAAATATCACCATATAAAACAGAAACGCTTTAGTTTTCATACCATGAGGATAGTTTATATGCATTAAAATATTAGATCAGCTTGAATATGTTCACACACACATACATGTATATGTAATTTTGAACAAGAATTTTTTTTCCTGCTTATGTGGTGATGAGGAACTGAACCCAGGGCCTCATGCATGCAACGCAA